ATTTACATGGATATATAACACATATGCGTTAATTACCGCCAAATATAAAATATTATAAAACAAGCAAAGTGGCCACCTTCTAGTTCCTCTTTTGCAGGTATATGCTGACGCTAATTTATATACCACACTGATTACCACTGATTGTATACCACACTCTCAACTCTAAACTTCAAGCGATCAATTCTGGTACAACACTAAAGATACTCGACAAACTCTTCCGAAAATAGAACCCATAAAATCTAATATCTCAGAAAAATAAACAAAACAAACATCACGTACATTGGGACACACTTTTGGGTACAGGTGGACCAATAAACATTAGATGTGTTTCTTTCATTTCACAGAAAACCAAACTGATATTTCAAAACGCAAATACGTTAAATTGTATATAAACCTTATCTTAAGGATATCATGAAACATCACGTCCCAAATTTACGATATAAAAAATATATAAACACTTGAATTTTACTACTGGGTCCAGGAGTATCCAGAGACAATACAAAGAATAAATTAGAATTACTATTACCTGAAAAAAGGGTAAATAAATTTATGATTAATATTATTTTAGTCATCGAAACATTGTTTAATGCACTTTTTTAGATAATTTCACTTATTTCAGTATTGTGTATCCCAAATGTTTCAAATTTATTGATTAATTTCAGATATTTAAATCCTGTGCTCGATTTAAGTCAAGGGGCAACATTTGTGTTGACATCGCAAAGTCTGAAATTAACAAAGTTTTCGAACTAATTAAGAAAGTACAACAGTGACCTTAAGGAACTTGGATGAAATGACATTTTCCGTGGGTCGTGGAAAGTGCGAAAGGATAATATGTATTACAGAAAATCTTTCGGTTGATGAGAAGACTGTAGAAGGTATTTCAAAGTTTGTTAATTTGTATCACCTTGTAATTTGTTTAGTCAGTATAAAGGGAATTGCCGATATACAAAATTAATATTCGGCGTGGAAAAGATAAAAGACAAATTGGATAAATTTGCAAAGCTTAAAACCAACTGGATTTAAAAGGCATAAAGCTAAGAATAATCAAAATCTATTATTAATAATTATACAGCGTGGAAACCCCTTATGGAATAAAACTGTTTTCCTTATTTTAGAAAATAATAAAAAACATTGAGATACCTTAATTTTTAAATTTAAATGTGCGCTTTTTAAACCTAAATTTGGATGTATAGGGTGATCCATGCAAGTCTGGCATAGTCCATAATCTGCATTTGAAACACCCTGTATACTTTTATGTTTTTAAAAGCTTCTTAACAATCTGATCTCAACGAACAATATCATGTAGGGTCTATTATGAATAATACAAGGTGAAATTTTGAAATTAAGTATAATTTCCTTCAAGACAATTAGTTCATAGAGCACCCGAGGTAATTGATTGGATTACATTAAAATAAATGCTTAAAATGTTGTCCCTCTTATTGTTGGCAATAACACAGTCTCCTATAAAATTCCTCCCGAACTTTGTTTAAAGTTTGAGGTGAAATATTCCGTATTTCTGTAGTTTTCCTTTTTTTGAGGTCTTCAAAGATAGTTGGTTGTGTTGCATATATTTTTTTCTTGAGATAAACCTACAGAAAAAAATCCAAAGGTGTAAGATGTGACGACCTAGCTGACACTCAGTAGTACCCCTTCGTTTAATCCATTAATTGAAAAAGATTTCATTAAAGTAATTTTCTACCATTAAAGCATAATGGGGTGTTGTATCGTCCTGCTGGAACCAGACAGTTTCATGTGGTAGGATCAGATCTATTGGAATGGGATATAAGTTAGCCATCTGAGAAAGGACATCGTCTCAGCAAGCTTAAATATTTTTCCGCTGTCAAATTATCATCTACAAATATAGGACCAATAATAACATCTCCTATAATACCTGCTTAAACATTTAACTTTTGAAGATACTGAGTGTATGTCTCACGCATCCAATGAGAATTCTCCGCTGACCAATATCTACAGTTTTGTGGGTTTACCTTTCCATTCAATGTAAATGTTGATTCATCAGAAAAAAGAATTGTGCCAAGAGCTATTTTATTTATGTTAATTTTATCCATCATTCTTATCCATCCACAAAAGTCAATTTATATGGATGAAGTTTTTTTTCATAGACACACTTTAGGACAGTCGTGTGACTCACAGTATTTTGACGTGCAATCTGACGTGAACTTGACGTTGGATTCTCTGGGACACTAAACAAAATATCCTCTTTCACCTCTTCTTTAATACGGTTCGGTTTTCTTTTTAATGGTTTGACATGTCCAAGTTCTCTTAATTGTGCATACATTTTACACACATTTTAATTTTAAACATAAGTTTGCTACTTCAACTTGACTTCTACAATTCTCCCCGTAACCGATTGTTTAGGATTAAACTTGAGAGGTCGCTGATTAAGTTATATCAGATAAATAATTATAATGAAAAATGCAATATTTGTTTGTACATAAAATTAGCGAAAATAGAAACTATAAATTGTAAATAAATTACGTAATTAACTGGTTTACTCATTATCAATGTTTTGTATAAAGAACTATGGACTTACCCTCTGAAGATATTGATGCTGTCTTAACAGGAATGAGGAGTTGGTCGTGATACCGACGCTAGCGTCGCCGCCGAGGATCAGCACGAGAACCGTCCGAAACTAGGTCCATGCGAGAATGCGTTGATATGGTCAGAGCTAATAAGGAACCCTCTAAGCGGTGGTACCAATAAATCATTCCATTGTACTGCGACCTTTCCGATAATTTTAGCTAATTGTAACGCTAACACGACACTTTACACTTGTGTGTATATTTTTGAACCATACAAAAGAGAAGCCAAATTCTCCGTATTCACAACATCATAAATTAGATATCTAGTTTAAGTTTTACGAGACAACAGGAAACAATATATTTCAAAAGGTCTTTAAAATACAGCACCCAATTAGATCACATTACAGTACCGTAACAGAAACAGTACATTGTTTACCGGGTAGGAAAAAAATAACATTCCTGGACGACTGTGAAGATTGCTAAGTCGAGGTGCAAGCCGAGACTTAGCAACACAGAGTCCAGGAATGTGGCTTTTCCTACGAGGTAAACATACTATTTTTCCGAAAATCGTTTAAAATTCGACAGATATTGATTGATTTAAAAAAAACGCGATAATTTTATTCCCAAATAAATGGTGCTTTGAAATTCCTAATAAAATTACTTGGGTTACTATGGAAACGTATTGAGGTTGAATTGTCAAACTTGTATGTAGAACACTAACAGCTGTACGGAAATATCATTTAATTACAGTAAGGAAATGACATTTCCTTACAGTAAGGAAGTCCTGACTTTTTCTTCAAGAAATTTTGACAGGAATGTCAAAATTTCCTGGCGATTTGCGGAAAAAATATTAACTGTAAAAATATGAAATTAATTCGCACATACTTTCCCAAACACCGATCATTAAGAAAATCTCAATTTGGTGGGTCTCAGTTAAATATTTCATTTTTATTTCTGCAAAAAATTAGCGTTAATAAGAAATTTATTATTTTAATGTAAAATGTCAACACACCAACAACTGATTGATAACAATCTGCATTTATTACCGATTTGGATTAATTAGCAGACTATCTAGACAGTTTTTACCTATTCATGACAAATAATGTTAACACCATTACTAAACAGATTTTTTTCCCAATCAGGTTGTTAAGAATCTTTTAAAAACATAAAAATATACATATATAAAAGTGGTTTTCACATTTTATATGTTTTTTACTTTGGCTAACATGACCTAGAAAGTAGTATAATTCTAGGATGCTCGGTAAAAGAAGTCAATTTAGTCAACTTTTTAGGAGAAGCAAAAAACAATAAAAAATTTTGTTCTGAAGCTAATTAAATGTCATATTTCCTAAATGGTAGTCCACAAAAATTTTATATTTACCTATTTTCGTTGTAAATACTAATCTTAAACAAAATATGTATTTTTTTTTTCTAATAAATGAAATTTACAAAAACAAATGTGAGTTATATTATTTGTACCACAGGTACCAGATGACTTATACTATTTCGTTTAGCCCAAGAGCTGTTTTTTATTAAAAATAAATAAATAAAACATATTGATGCAATATTTACCAAAAAAAAAACATATAAAAACATAAAACTAATGTTAATACGGTTTCAGCAAACCTATGGCTACGTCTCTTAATGGAGAAAAATAATACTCTGCGTCAGATGAATCTTCATCACCTGAAATCACATCACGAGCATCACGTGTCTTTAAATTTTTATAAAAATCGTAAAATACTGGACTTATTAGAGAAAGAAGATCCAAAATGTGCATTTTCTTCTGCGTTAATATAGCAAGAGTGCTTTTGTACAAATTTCTGGGTACCATCCTCGCATTAGTTTGGTCTCTAGTAGTACACTTAGCGTCGGAAATGCCTCTTTTTCATCAAGTAATGTTTTGTAAAAAATAATTCCCTTTTCTCTTGTAAAACGAAACCAGCTCACATCAAAACAATTGAAAGAATTTTTGTCTTGTATCTTTTTTATGTATTAGACAGTTATTTTTCAAAAGATCTGAAAAATTTAACAAATCACCATGGTAAAGTTTGAATTCATTGAATTTCTTCTTTTTTCCCGTAGTAGTTTCAAGCTAATTCCAGTCGTGGGGATAGCTGATTGGAATACTTAGCTTTTTTTTTGCTTTTCGATCAATCTATGATCAATATTGCACTTTACATAACTGTGTCCACTTACCATGAATTTATGGTCAATAACTTTTAAATTAGTGTTATTTTGCATTGCTACTAAAAACATCATAGCAACATGTAAATTTTTGTTCTGACCACCGCATGCATCAAAGTACAGTGTTACTTTGAAAACATTTGGTGGTAGTAATAATAATTCTTTATAAATACATGTAGTTATATTCTCTCCCCTATTCAACTCCCCTCCCTTCTTTCATCTTTGCGCCACAAGTAACATGCCAAATTATTTCTCCATTCTCAGGGATAGTTAGGTTATATGCCCTTTACTGGTTTTTGTAAAAACAACAGAATAATTTACGTATGAAGTTGAAAGACACTGCTTTAAATCAAAAGTGAGGCATCTAACAGTACTATCACATTTTGCTTTTTCTGTGTCGTTACTCTTCATAACATATGCATTGTCTGCAGCACTGTGATGAATATTTATTTCGTCTTTTATTTTAGTTTTATCATCTTCACTTTCAGTAAATTTAAGTTTATTACTCAGCTTCAGCACATCAGATTTATGACACGTATCTACTTGTTTAAATGTAATGTTCATTGTATGGAACTCTCTTTCATAAATTGGTCTAGAGACAAGTGATTAGTTTTCTTTAAAATATAATTGTACATTTTCTGAAGATTAAGGTGACATGGCAAGTACAATCTATTACTCTCTCATCGTGTATAATAAGATTCATACAGGGGAAAATAATTTATGTGGTACTTCACTGCATTAATAGTTTCTTTATTATGCTTGTTAGCGAAAGGATCACGACCTCGTTGGTCATCAGTTACTCTCCCTGATGTTTTTGAATCCCTATTTGTAAGAGCTAGTGTAATAAACATATTTGTCTCATCAAATGTGCTCATAAAACATTTTTTACAAACTTGAATTCTAGCGCCATTCACCGTTAAATAAAAAACATGAGTCACTTTTCGAATTTTTTTTTATCCAGATATAAAGTCTTTTTCTAGTGGCTTAGGTGGTTCTGAGTCTATAAGGCTAACAATATATGCAACACTTTTGTTGCGATCACACATAGCCCAACATTTGTCGAATAGCTTTTTTTGTATATCTTCTAAAATTTTGTTATTGCATTTATTTCTACAAGCTAACTTTTTTCATGCGGCGTGCTAGTTTTACGTTATTTTTTGCTGTTACATAAGCTTTTCCAAAGTTTCGATTTCTTTTACGTTTCGCTCTTTTTTTTTCGTGAATAAACTCCTTCAATGTTGGAATCAATACTGGCATTACCTGATTTTGATCTCCTCTCTGTATTTTCAGACATCAGAAATTTTAAACAGATTCAATTTTTTCTTCAATGGCACTGCTAGAGTCACTACTATCCGGCATAGAGTTTATATCTTCGTCAATATAATCATCTACAGAGTCTATCTACAGGTTTGGGCCTCAGTAGAATAACACATTGCAGCACCTACTTAAAAAATTACGAAATATTAACTTTTTTCCGTGAAAAAGACAGCAAATATTTGATTTCACGCAAACAGCGCCTTTGTATCTGTTGATACGTATTTCGACCTAATAGGTCTCATCAGAACAGTTATTCAAAGGTGTTGTTATAAACAGATACAAAGGCGCTGTTTGCGTGAAATTAAATATTTGCTGTCTTTTTCACTTTTTTCGGATTTACTCTGTACGAGTACTAGAAACCAATTCGCTAAGGATTTCTGCTTAGTTGAAAAGATGTGTCGTGGAATGCAAATTTTAGATTCCCCACGTCTCTTTTAACACCTTTATCAACGTCTGTTTTGCTTTGCAATTTTTAGAAAGCACAGATAAAAGCAGAAATCTGAATTGTGTTTCGAAACTATTTTACGATTGTTAACTTTTTTCCCTTTATCTGTTTGCTTAATTGGTAAACACCTACATGTTTTTACTACTTTTTACTAGAACCCCAAAAAGGAAGGTCATATTAAAAATGAAACTCGAACAAAGAAAAATATGTTATTTTGAAAGATGCTAAATTGATTTTCTTCGAAACAGATCTTGTTACATAGAAGGCTGAGGCTAGTTTCTTACTTAACAAATCGGTATGAAGGGACCATTTAAAAATGCTGTCTATAAAAATACCAAGAAATTTTACAGAATCAACGATACTGCTCTGATATAAAGACAACTAAAAGAAGAGGACCCAGTACTGAACCTTGTGGTACTCCACATCCAATGCTTTGGTGACTAGAGTCAGTAATATTTATTCTAACTAGCTTTTTATTATTCCTCAAGTAAGATTGCAACCAATATAAAGAAATACCTCAAATTTCGTGGAAATTTAGTTTTTTTAATAAAATGCCATGTATTTTTTTTACACAATCAAAAGCTTTTACATAGTCACAAAAAACAGTGGCAGTATAAAAAATATTGTTTAGTACTTGATAGACGTCATGTAGTAAAAAAACATAGCATCGCTGGTACATTTATTAGATAAAAGCCGAACTGACTTTGTGATGTAAACTTATTTGAAAATAGTAATTTCTTGAATTGTCCGAACAATTACTCACGATGTTTGGCAACATTTTCGATTATTTTGTCGCCAAACCTGCAATTCAAAATTTATTAAGACCAAACCATTTTAATATTTTGTTATTAATGATAGAGCTTAATATGTTGTTGATCTCATTCTTTGGTTCAATAGGCAAAGTTGTGAGAATGAAAGTTTTCAATCAATTCTTGTTTGTCCGAACATTTGTTTGTAAGGGGATTGTTATGTTTTGCATATACGATGACCTCTATATATCAATTACGGTCATCAGGAAGGAAAGAGAAGATACTGTGTTCAATCTAGAACTCGCTGGTTTCTCGCTTTCGCATTAGGTATGTATATTCCTATAGAAAAATAATAGATGAGTAGACTATACCTATAAACTATAATTGAAATAAAATAAAAGCCAAAGACAAATATACACACCTTTAAATATAATAAAAATATAAAGAGCTACAAATTAATTGCGACCTGACAAATATGTTAAAAAAATATTTATTTGTAGCCAAGAATAAATTTACAAAAGAAAAGTGCACAGGCGAAAATCACTAAATAGACTTAAATATCAGAACTGGCAAGAAAAACATCGATATATGTAATGATATAATTAATCGGTGGTAAAATAAATCAGCCTTGTTAACAGAGACACAAAAAATGCAGTCCAAAACAATTCAATGAAATATATTATTTATAAATATTAATAAATGCAGTTCAAAAGGAAAATCAGTAATTAAATTAATAGTAAAATTAATACAATAAAATAATTCGTCAATTATTATTAAATCAATAAAATTATTAATACAAACAAGTCAATTATAATTACCAATACAGTAAAAAATCTTTAAGCAACCGTAAAATATTCTCAACTGGCCACACAACGTAAAATAAAGTACAAGACAATAAAATGAATTCACAGCAAATGTAAAATGTTCTTGATAAAGTTCAAAAGGTTGTTTAAAGTAAAGTTTAAAAGGTTCAAAATCGCGACACAATATGTAATAATTTGGCATGAAGTAAACGTACTTGATCTATTCAGCAACAAGATAAATGGTGTATTATACTTTACCCCAATGAAATGATAGCACCAACCGCTATCTAAAATGATGCCATCAATGACATACAGCAATCATAAAGTATTAATAATGGACCAGCCTCCACCCTACTGCATAGAACGACTGTCTTTCTCACGAGACCGAATCGAAGTGTGTCAGGTACTCTTAACTCAAACGCACGTCTGTCTCATATGGCATACGGAACTCGTCTCTTATCTCATTCTTATCTCAAATACACATCTGTGTCATTTTGCAGATAACACATCTCGTAATATGTAGTTTTTAATACAGCTGTATTTTTGTACACGGAACCTTGGAGTAAGCAGAGAATCAAACCTACCACAAAATCTGTTAATATTAAATAAATGTTTATATCATCATCGTCATCATCATCCAGCCGAATTTTCACATCCATTGTTGGATATAGGCCTCCTCCAAACGTCTCCAGTTCTCTCTATCTCTAGCTGCTGCAATCCAGTTTGTTTCTATTCTCTTTAGGTCGTCGGTCCATCGGGTGGGTGGTCTGCCTCGACTTCGCTTGTCGGCTCTTGGTCTCCACTCCAATAATCTCTTCGTCCATCTTCCGTCTTCCATTCTAGCAACATGTCCAGCCCACCTCCACTTTTGTTTATTGATTCGCAGTATAATATCGTCTACGCCAGTTCGTCGGCGTATCTCCTCATTTCTTACGCGATCTTTCAAGGTCAGGCCCAGCATTGATCTCTCCATTCGCCTTTGTGTTACCCTCAGTTTTTCGGCAGTAGCTTTCGTTAAAGTTAAGGTCTCTGCTCCGTAGGTCAAGACTGGTAAGATGCATTGGTTAAATGCCTTCCTTTTCAGGTGAATTGGGATATTTGTTTTAAAAATGTCTCTCATCCGTCCATATGCCGCCCATCCCAACGTGATTCGTCTATTTAGCTCGCAGGTTTGGTTGTCTCTGGTTATTCTAATTTCATGACCCAAGTATGTGTATTTATCGATTAATTCTACCTTGTTGTTATTGATCTGTATCTCTTCGCTGGGAACCATATTGGTCATCATTTTGGTTTTCTCAAAATTTATCTCCAGCCCAGTTTCTTGTAGTATGTCATTCAGTTCTTGGAGCATGTCTTTGATCTCTCCCAGATTATCTGACAGAAGCACGATATCGTCCGCAAAACGTAGATGGTTTAATCTTTCTCCATCGATGGATATTCCTTTCTGTTGCCATGTTAGTCTTTTAAATGCATACTCGAGAACGGTAATGAACAGCTTTGGTGACATGGTATCACCTTGCCTGACTCCCCTTTTTATCTTTATTTTATTAGTTGCAGAATATAGACTTATGGTTGTTGTGGCATTTTCATATATATTTTTAATTATATTACAATATCTGTGGTCGATCCTGCAATCTTGTAGTGCTCTTAAGATGTACGGTAGTTCCACTGTATCAAACGCCTTTTTAAAGTCTACAAATATCAATGCCAAGGGACGGTTATATTCGTTAGTTTTTTCTATTAGGGTTTTTAGGCACTGCAGGTGATCGTTTGTGCCATAATTAGGGCGAAAACCAGCTTGTTCCCGAGGTTGGTAAAAATCCAGCTTTGTCTCTAATCTATTCGTTATTATTCGGGTGTATAATTTATAAAGATGGTTAAGGAGACTGATTGGTCTGTATCTTTCCAGGTCTGCTATATCTCCCTTCTTGTGTAAGAGTACAGTTATTGAATTATTCCACTTTGTTGGGATATTTTGATTCCATAGGCATAGATTAAAGAGCTTTTGAATTTTGGCTATCAGTACTGAGCCTCCTAACTTTATCGCTTCCGTGACGACACCGTCCTCCCCCGGAGCTTTGTTATTCTTCATCTTTTTTAGAGCCTTGTAAATTTCGTCCAAGGAGATTCCTGGAATATCTTCGGAACCCTGATTTTGAACCTTCCTCTGTTGATATTCGACTATATCTAGAGTAGATTGGTTGCTATATAATGTCTCATAGAATGATTCCACAATTTGTAACAAATGTT